ATTTTTGTTTTAAATGTTTTTATGTAGACATAATTAATATATTGAAGTTTAAAACTATTGTACTGAACCTAACATTTGAATCACACTAATTAATTTAATTAATTTTAGTTACCAACATTAACTAAATTTGTATATTGTAATAATACATGAATTGGCAATGACAATATTATTGTATTTTCTGTACTAGATTCAACTTTTCTTTACCAGAATCAAGCGACATGCGTACCCCAACCAGGAACATGGTTCTAAAACACTGGTATATAAAATCTACGTGTACATACATGCATGTACTCTTGAGTTCTATGGAAGAAAATTTATGCTTTGTTTCAGTTCATTATTAAGTTGCTTGTAAATGTTCTTATTTGCACTTTTGCTTTATCTTCTAATTAGTTATTTCTATTTTTGTAAAAACACTTAGTTACCAAAATGTAGAAGGCAAGGTTAAGCAGTTTGGATCAGCGGTCACCGAAACGCCTATGTAAGTCTTTGCCTTGTATTTGTAACGCATGAACACACAATATGACTTAGAATATTTTCTGTTGGAGTTTTGTTTTTATATTAAGTTAGAACATATTTTTTTTATATCTATGCTGGCCCCCATCTAGGATGGCACATTAGTAGGGGGACAGCATTTTCAAAAAAGTGATCATATTATGTTAGGGGCGGCAAAATTTGATTTTGCTTAGTGCACTGTTGTAGCTTGAGCCAGCCCTGTATAGATGTTAATATGGCTGCATCCGAATTGCGTGCGGAAAAAAAGATCTATGTTTGACAACAACCGAATTGCGTGCGCGGTTTTTTCGAGACAGCCGAATTGCGTGCGTGGTTTCTTCATGACAGAGCTGAATTTCGTGCGCATATTTTATTTAAAGACAACCGGTATCGTAATATCTGTATCTGATATGATAACTATACTCGTATATGGGTATTATCATATGGTATTATGTACTATGCAGGGAATAGGATTTTTCGGCAATAAGATATAAGCTAATAATTTGATAAATAATATTAAACGATCTATATTCTATATGCATCAATTTCAAAATAAAATGTTAACTCGTTTGGAATTTATTGAAAAGTTGGCATACAAAAATTTGCCAGTTGGGTTTTAGTTTGAATACAAAACTCAAAATATATAATATATAAACAAACCTATTTTTTTTATTTTTTATTATTTTTATAATATTTTGACRGTAATTTTAAATTACATTTTTTGCTACTCATATAAAATATTTAAATATAATCGTTTTTACGAGATACCTAATAATTTTATTGTATTATCACTTGAATTAATATTGTTTTAATAATTTGTATTCGAAGAATAAATGTATTCTTTAATTATTTAGTGTAAATAAATCTGGCACACCGTGCGGCATCAACACTGTATCTCGCACGCAAAACGGCTCTGTCACAGAAAAACCGCGCACGCAACTCAACCCTGTTATGAAAAAACCACGCACGCAATTCGACCCAGAAAACGATTTTCGCACGCAACTCGGAACCGCCGGTTAATATATATATGAATCGTTAAAATTTTAAAAGGGGACTTCTGACAATTTTCAAATTTTACAGAAGGAAAAAATTATCTAGGTTACCAATAACATTTTATTTTTTTATATTAGTAGCAGTGGATTACATCGATGCTAGTACATACTTTGGGGCTTTGAAAAAAAACATTTAAATAATATACCATGTTGATTGTTAAAATTGTTTGTGTGATAGAATTCCTCTTTCTGCATCAAATTGTTAAAACATAGGTTATGTTAGATCAGCGGTTCTCAACCTTGTTATAGTCACGTACCATATACAAAATTTGAAAAATTTTACGTTCCACCTGACCATTTTTTTGCATATTAATAATGTATACATTTATATTATATGTATAGAATTTTATTAATAAATTAATTTTTTATAAAGGTAGATTTTCTTCGCGTACCACCTAAGAGCTTTCCACGTACCACAGGTTGAGAACCGCTGTGTTAGATTCTAAACAATAGATTAAAATAGCCAAACAAATTGAATTATTTCTTTAGGTGATAACTGATAWGTAACAATGTTTAAATATACCGTGTGTTCATCAATTTAGGGAACACCGAGTTTCTCGGCTGGATTATGTTGGAATAAATCAAATTTTTTTACAAGTTATTGGTATATAAATATAAATTTCAAATTTTTAACCCTCTCGATATGCGCGTGCGTAATGCAACTTATTTTTTTTAATAGCAACCGGTATTTTTGATACTAAATTTGGATAGATTGAATTTTTTTTTTTGACCAGTTAACCATTGGTTCTAATACCAAAATTGACTGAATGAGATCCATTCAAATTTTAATAAATAATACATTTTTACGATYCATTATAAAATGCATAAAACCATTTATAATTATTTATCATTGGTTACTTTTTGAATATTCTTATGTTTTTTCTTTTTCTTTTATACCTGTTATAAATAAGATTAACATAATACGGATATAAAATTATTCAATTAAAATTGATTACAACTGTATACATGAAAATATTCAAAAAGTAACCAATAGGCAATAATAAATAATTATAAATGGTTCTATGMATTTTATAATGAATTGTAAAAATGYATTATTTATTAAAATTTGAATGGTTCTCATTCAGTCAATTTTGGTCTTAGAGCCATGGTTAATTAGTCAAAATAATTTTAAAAAATGCAGTCTATCCGAATTTGATATCAAAAATACAGGTTGCTATTAAAAAAAAATAAGTTGCTTTGCGCATGTGCGTGACGAGAGGGTTAAATTTTTTAAATTTATCTGAAAATTTGTATTTACATACCACTAGCTTTAAAAAAAAATTTGATTCATTCCAACATAATCCAGCCGAGAAATTCAGTGTTTCCTAAATTGGAGAACACACAATATATTATGTTAACATATTAGCCGGTATGTAACAAACTAGATTTGTTCGTCTTGAATGTTCTATTTACATTAAAATCACTATGATTGTACTCAAAGTGAATTAAATAAATAATAATAAAATACTATTGATAATAATGGACACATCATACAACATGTGATTAATTAAAACCATAATAATATAAACATGTTTATGTATAATATTATATAGATTCAAAAACTGTATGTAGAAACAGGACTTCTACTGCAGAAGTTCCCTTTTAACTTTAAGTGATTCATATATAACTATTAACTAGAGTTATGTTTTGTATTAAAATAGTTGTGTATGAAATATTTAAAAAAATTAGTTATTAAGAGTATGGTAACATTGGCATTTGTCGTCTCAGTCTTACAAGTGTGTACATACCAAATTTACCCTCAGTAGATTATAATATGTAGCTTTGTTAGTTTAAAATTGAAAGTGAATCAACCTCTTATGAAATTTGATGGTATGGACATGATCTGTGTTTGTATGTAAATATTTTATAATACTTCAGTTCTAAAGTGAGTTATGAACATTCTAATTTATGCTATTTTATATATGCAAAACTTACAAAAAAATTGTACTATTGTAAAAAAAACCCACATACAAACTCAGATAATGTTCAAGTTTCATGAGAGGTCGATTTACCCTAATTCTTAAACTAATAATTCTACATGTGATTTACTGAGCATTAATTTGCTATATTGCGCACTTGTAAAAGAGAGATAACTAACGTTAAAGCCCCTTAAATTAAAAGATCATAAAGCTAAAGAAATCCTTTTCAGAATTTCAATTTTTTATAAATATAAAATATATGCTTTAAAACATTATTCATTTTATTTTATAAGTAGTTCCAAATTTCCAAACATGATTGTGTATGTCAGATTCTTATCTAATGCTATGATTGTTCTATTAACCACCAAGACTTTTCTTGGTTTGTCAACTTATACGTCTTATTACTAGCTATTTTCGGTAATTATTAATTACTAATAGTGGTACGTTGTTTTTCTGCAGCTCCTACAAATCTTTAAATATTTTAAAAATATTTTATTGTTAATAGTTATCAGAAAACTGAATCTGTGGTAAAAACAACCGCAGAAAAAGCTACAACAATATTTGGAGGATTTGGCAGTGGTCTTACAACCAAACTTGGCCAAATTAAGAACTCTGAATCATTCCGTTCTTTTGAAGAAAAAGTGGGTTCAGCTTTGGAAAATGTTAAGGTATTAATTATGAATAATATAAAATAATATAAACTGGAACATATTAAATTATTGTGTTTATATATTTTTAGACTAAAGTTGCATCTCGATCCAACTCAATGCAGAACTTTGATGAGATATTGGAGGAAGAAACTCGTTTGGCAAATGAAGAAAAACGTTCACGAGAAGAACGTGAAGCTGCAACAAAATAAATTTTTGGTATCTAAATCATCTCTCTTGTACTTTCGACATTTATCATAATCGTGCAATCTTGGTCACTTAAGTACAGAATTTACCTTAAACTAGGCACTACAAATTCAATTTCTCACAAATTTATTTATCCTGAATTTAGTGTTGAATTGTATTTTATTATTATATAAAACATTTTTTCCCATAATGTTTATCATTGATTTGTGATTTTTGATAGTTATTAATCTTATTTATATAAATATAATATATATTTTTTTTTTTTTGTATAAATAATCTTACGAGCGCTTTAACTCTGAAAAATAATTATGTTTGTGCCTATACAACGATACTGTACGACATACACTTACTTTAAAAGTATTCCAATTATTGTAATTAAATTAGATATTTTTTTAGTTAAGTATTTATATAAATTAAACTAAATTAATTATTATGTTTACAAAATGCATTAATCTRTTAAATAGTTAACCACTACTAACTAGGAAAATGATAATAAATTCATTGGTTGGCACTAATATGTTCATTTTGTACCAATGTTGGTTTAGACAAGTGCATGAATCAACATAATTTCCAATAGTTATTGCAAAAATTATAATTTTATTCTACTTAAGCCAAAAAAATATTTTTAATTAGTGTTTTAACACTTAAGGTGTAGTAGAACTGTATAATTTAAACTTTAATCTTACAATTATTGTRACACATAATTTGGTCCTTAGGTCTAGAAACATTAATATAATATAATATATATTGTATATTATTGTTAACCTAAAATATTGATAAGCACTACAGTAATACTATATATTATATTTTATATATCATAAATGAATATTACATTTAATAATAATACTTACCAATTGAAAATATTTCAGTTTTCTAAATTTCTAATGAAGTACATTTAAACAAATGATTGCTTTTGTCATTCACTTTTTTGTCCAAGAGCATAATCTCAATGTTTGTTAAAATGGATGACTTCTATGTTTTAAATAGTTTCTAAAATTGAGAGCATAATTATAGCCAATGATGGTTAAGATGATTTTTAAGAAAAAAATCGGAGTGATTCTAATGAAGATTATGTAAATTTGAAAAATTACAATTTTTTTGATAATTTCACAGAACAATAGAGAACATACATTTCCATTGAACAGAATACAGAATTAACAGAAATAAACCATATTTAATATTAAGTACATTTATTTAAATTCAAAATTAAAGTTAGTAAGAACACATTAACTGTGATTATGTATTGTATATTTATATATTGATTGTTCACAATATTTCAATTTATAAGTAAGTTATGAGCATTTTTAAATTGTAATATTATTTTACATACTCATAATCAATAATTACACTCATATCTAGCTATCGGATTCATATTTTATGAGAACATAAATTCCAATTTAGTTCTTATATGTATGACTTTAAGAGTATACTGCCACTCAGGCATTTAAATACAAGTTTATTGTATTTCAAATTATCTTTAAGTTATAACRTTGTTACATTTGTTTTAAGTTTGAGTGTCCAGCATATTGAAATCAACTTTATCGGTTCTATTCAGTACAAATGCTGACAATAATAGAGTAATTGTATATTTTGACAAAATAAGATACATGACACTAGTATAAAATGTGTATTAATACTTGATACTTTAAAGTTATGTATAAGTATATACTCGTAAGTTACAATTTCGATACTGACTAACGCTGCACATAATAACCATATMAATTAACAAATGCAGATAATTTTGTATCCAAAAAGTGGTTCTCCTTAAGGTAAATTTATTATGCTTGTATGATGAAGAAATACATGCCTATGTGATTATTAAGGCAATAAATGAARAAATCATAAGTAGAAACGTCATTAAAATACTAAAGTATATAAATATATTATATATTTTTGTATAAAATATTTTAAATACATACTGTGTATAGTGAACAATGGACAAATGACAATGTATATATTACAACTTACAAGTACATATATTACCTCATAGCATAGGCGCAACTAGGGTTACAAATCTAGGGGGAGGATACAGCCCGCCTAACAAAACTATGAACTTAAAATATCCCATAGGAGACCATCCCATCCCCCTACATACAATCAAAACAAATTTTAGATTCTGAACAAAAAGAAGATATTTGTGAGGAGGCTAAGCCCCCCCCCCAGTTGCGTCACTGCCTCATAGATATGTATATTAGTATAAGATAAAATAATAACATGTATAAAAATGTATATCTAAAATAAATATATAAATAAGAAATGGTGAACAACTTGAAGGAAGAAGACATTCAGTTTTAAAAATATAAAATCTTCGTTTCTAAAATGCWCTACAACGGCGTTTCAGTAGGTATTGGTCGRAAATAACTCATTCTAAACTTCACCAAGGTTCAATATTAGTTTTGAAAATGGTTTTCAGAAATTAATTTTTCAAACCTAGTGCCTACTAACTTGGCACAGCAGTCGAAGTAAATATTTAATTTAGTCTTCTTCATAAGAGTGTCCACGGCCCCACGGGTCATGCCTGCCATGCACAGACATGACCTGTAAATTTGATCTAACTTACATTGCACATTTTGATGCATAATATGAACCTTTTTTTCTCAATTTCTAATTTCATATTAAGTTTTTTGTTTTTCGTCATATTTATGATTCAGGGTCATATCCCCTATTTTTTTATTTTTTTTTTTAAGGGGGGAGGAGGATTGGCAGTTTCCCCATCCCCTAGATATGCCACTGTTGTGCATGACCTGCGAATGAGGTCTGGACACGCCTATGGTCTTCTTATTTTTTTTAATAAATAATAAAATATTGAAAAATCTAGTTATCGAATATTGTATACACACGCATACATGGTGGCCACTTCAGTTGCCAAATATCTATAGACATTTTATTGCTTACATTTTCACCCCAAATAATTATCTAAACTATTATAATTTTCTTTTTGTCATTTAGTCGACCTCGACACTCTAAGATCCATTCACACGTTCTTGGCGACCAGTTTAACTTCAAACAAGCCGATCGAACAGGTCGAAACTTATAGCTGACATATCGCTAAGACCGGACCGGCGTGTGTGAGATGAGTCTTCAATCTTAACCGTAATACATGTTGCTGTTGGACATCACTACAGCGACTGCGACGGGATGGTCAAAGTGCTGGTTCAGGGCGGGAAAAGGGTGGCCAAACGAGGACTGGCACACRGCACACTCGCACGGCCTGTCACCGGCGTACTGAGGTATTCTGTGTACGTCCGTGGCCGCGGCGAACTGAAGTCTATTTTGGCTGGTGTCGAGCGCGTTCGCGTCTATGAACAGTGGCATGTTCGCTGCGTGGTGGGCGGCCCGATGGGCGACTAGACCGGACGACTGCGTAAACGACTTGCCACACTCGTCGCAGTGGAACGGTTTTTCGCCCGTATGCGTCCGGTTGTGCGTGTTCAACGTCGACTGGCTGCCGAAGGACTTATGGCACACTCCGCACATGAACGGTTTGTCTCTGGGCGGTGCGGCTGGTCGCTTGTTCGTTGTCGTCGGCGCGACTTGGCCGGTCCCGCCGCCCGAATGGTGGTTTCTCTTGTGCAGTACCAGCACGTACGACTGGGTGAACGACTGATGGCAAATGTCGCACACGAACGGCCGTTCGCCCGTGTGCGTTCTCCGGTGCCGAACCATGTCGTTGCGCTTGACGAATGCCTTCTGGCAGAAATCGCACTTGTGCGGCTTCTCGCCGGTGTGTGCGCGCCGCTTGTGCGTCTTCATGCTGCTCAGCAACGCGAAAGTCATGTGGCACACGTCACAGCTGTACGGTTTCTCGCCGGTGTGCGTGCGCCGGTGCGTGGTCAACGTGCCCAGCTGCAAAAAAGTTTTCTGGCATATATCGCATTCGAACAGCTTCTCACCGGTGTGCACCTTTTGATGTTCCTTCAGGTTGCAAGAGTCGATGAACGACTTGTCACACGTGTCGCATTTGAACGGCTTCTCCCGGGTGTGTGTGCGCCGGTGCACTTTTAGTTTGTACGAGTCATTGAACGGCCGCTGGCAAATGTCGCATTCCAATTGTTGACGTTCGCCACGTTTCTTTTTCTGCTTGACCACGTCGTYGACTTTTACAGAKGACGTATTTTTCACTTTGACTGTGCCAAGTCTGTGCACTTCCCTGATGTGTTTCAATAACATAGAACTTTCGTCATAAGCTTCTTTACACTTGGCACACTTGAACTTCTGCGGCAACATGATAACGTCTATTTTCTCATTTAGGCCGTTGAGTGCGGTTTGTACTGGTAAGTGGGCACACACAGTGTTTGGTATGGATGACTCTTCGGTAGGCAGTTCATTYGTGACAAGAGGTATATCAGGCTCGCTAGGATACCAGCTCGACCAATTGTCAGTGTAGTCGTCTGCCTCAGATGCATTTGGCAATCCGTAATGATTTGTTGTCCTTGGTTGAGCTAGTGGTACAGTTGTTGGATGTTCGATCGAGTTAATTGGTTGTTGATGGTGGTTCCAATGGGTTCGCTTATGAACTATTAAACTAGAGGATTGAGTGTACGCTTTGGGACAAATATCACACTGGTAAGGTTTCTCCCCGGTGTGAGTGCGTCGGTGAGATACTAGTATTGATGAATAAGCAAACGCCTTGTGGCAATAGTCGCACTGAAATGGTTTTTCTCCCGTATGTATTCGTTTGTGTCTAGCTAGTACAGATAAACCTGTAAAAATCTTGTTACAAATTTCACACTGAAACTGATTTTCTCCATTATGTTTAGCCGTATGTCTAGTCATTCCGTTTATACTAGCGAACGATTTGAAACAAATATGGCATTTAAAAGGCTTATCKGTGTTATTCATTAGCTTTTCTTTTGCACCATTTGTAAATGGTTTAGTCCATTGCGGTACACCAGCGTGTGTACCCTTGTGACGTTCCAAACTACCTTTTTTGGCAAACGCTTTTTGGCATATTTCACATACATATGGTTTGTAACCTGTGTGTAATATTTTATGTTTCCGTAAACTGTTTGCTAGAGTGAACGATTTATAGCAAATATCACATTTATATGGCCTTTCTTGAGTGTGAGTTTTCTTATGGTCTGCTAGATTAGACGAATGAGCAAACGTTTTTTGACATAAATCACAATGAAATGGTTTAACACCGGTATGAATCCTTTTGTGTATGTTTAGCTTAGATTTTTGAGCAAATGCTTTTGGGCATACGTCGCATTTGAATGGCCTTTCTCCAGTATGCATTCTTTTATGCACGATCAAGGTACTAGACAACGAAAATGATTTTTGACATATATAGCATTTAAATGGTTTTTCACGTGTATGTGTACGTTTGTGTTCAATCAGCTTATGCCTAGATGAATAAGGAAAAGTCTTATGACATACATCACAGTCTAACCACCGACCTTCGGGTCTTTTGATAGGAACAACATTATTGTCCGATGAAATACTTACACTGTTTATTGTATTCATAATACCAATATTTTCTCTTCCATTAAACACAGGCTGAATAAATGGTACTGTAAGTTCATTATTACTTTGAATTGGATCTTTAGTGCTATTAGGATCCRTTTCACTTTGAAACCAATTTGACCAACTGTAACTAAAATCTCCAACTGAAGGTGTTGGAACACTTGTCTCCCATAAACCTGTCGTAGACGTTGTAGGTATTTCTGAAAAAATATTTTTCTGCATGGTGTTTTGAGTATTTGAAATCTGTTGTGCATTTAGGACATGTAGAGGCATATGAGGTATTTCTCCTGTATGAGTTCGCTTATGTGCAATTAAACTAGCCGAGTTAGTAAACGATCGTTCGCACGTATCACATGCAAATGGTCTTTCACCTGTGTGTTTTCTTTTGTGTATGATCAACCCAGASGACTGTGTAAAAGATTTATCACACATATCGCAATGAAACGGTTTTACACCTGTATGAGTTCGCAAATGCCGCTCTAAGTCACCACTCTTCACAAATGCTTTTGAACAAAAAATACATTTATGAGGTTTTTCACCTGTATGCGTTCTCTTGTGTGAATTTAAACTGCTTGATAGGGTAAACATTTTTTGACATACATCACATTTATATGGCTGTTCACCTGTATGTGTACGTATGTGTGCCACTAACGTTCCAGATGTTGCAAAAACTTTTTGACAAAACTCACATTTAAATGGTTTCTCTCCGGTATGAGTTCTTTTATGATTTATTAAAATATGTGAATGAGAAAAAGCTTTATGACAAATGTCACATCTATAAGGTTTTATGCCAGTATGAGTTTTTACATGATTTTTCAAGCTGTAAAAATTAGAAAAACCTCTATAGCAAGTTTCACAACGAAATGGTTTTACCCCACTATGTGTCTGTATATGTTGGATTAATTTTGTCTTGTTTGTAAAAGATTTTGAACACAGTTCACACTGGTGATGTTTATATTTAAAATAAGATTCATTTTTTGACAAACCGGGTAATTTCTTAATAATAGGAACTACTTTATCAGTAACTATACATTTCTCTGAGCAACAAGATAATTTTAAATGTCTTTCTATGTGTGTACGTTTGTAGTATACTGCCTTACATTTATAACATATATATTCTACTGGAAAGATAGTTTCCACTTCAATTTTATCCATTTCAATATGCCTGGACTCAATTGGATTTTGAAACGATTCATTTTGAATCACTGATGTTTTTGCAAGGTGTTCTGTCATTTTGTTTGTAAGTATTACTTATTTTGACCACCAATTTAATCCTCTTCATTTAAATGGCTAAAATAATAATAAAAAAAACATTATAAAATATTTATATTTAATTTTTATAGTATATAGTATATAGCGTGATTAAATTATATTACCATTAGACTTTAAAACCTAAAACCTTTGGTAATAAAACACCACATGTCCACATATGGTAGCTAAATAAATAGAACTTACATATAGGTTAGGCTCTTGGCCTATACGACATGTATAGATTGATCTAGCTTAGTCTGAGCTACAGTAAAATGCCTGATTAGAAAGCAATGATGAAAAAAATAACTTTTTTTAAAAACAATAATTATACCACTGAATAAATTTTGTTAGTATAATATTACAGTAAATAATAATAGTTTAATCTATTTTATTCAATTACTGACATTTAAAATTCCAAACACAAAATAAATGGTATTTATATAGTGATCCATATATAAGTACACAGAAAATTAATACCTATATAAAAATAATTTTGCTATACAAAGATTGTATTAGGCTATATTAATGGTACATATTGAAGTGTTTATATTGTATTTCTAGTTATATTGATACAAAAAAAATGAAACATATTTCCTGTCGAAACAACATTTAAATAATACGTAGGTAATAAAAAACATTTTTTCCATACTATCATATTATAATACAGATCAGGCTAGTAGGGGCCATCAAAATTGAAAGTACATATTTAAATGACGATGAGATTATTTTTTACTATCATTATTTTATTATTAAATCTAAATATTTTTCTTAAAATAAGTAAGTATAGGCAACATCAAAAACCGAAAACTTTAAAAAAAAAAGATTCAATTCAACATCACACATAATAAATTTCTTTTCAGAGGGCTAGATAAGATTTGTCTACGGGCCGCCATTTGGAGAACCCCAATATAGACAGGGCAGGTCTTAGGGGTGGGCTAGCTGGGCGACCACCCAGGGCGCCAATATGTCATGGGCGCCTTCTGAGTTCAGATATTAATTTTTTAATAATAGTTTTTATAAATTCAAATTATTTTTAATACCAACCAACCTGGTAATATTTTGAAATTTAATAAGTAAGCAGATTTAAAAATATTATAAATATAATATGAGTTTTGATTTCATATTTTGTTTGAGATATAAATAAAATTAATTATGAGTAGATTATGAAAGAATATTAATTTTTATATTGCATTTAAGTAAAAAAAAATAGTCATTTCAGTAATCCAACAGACTTCTAGTACTATAAATTATAATATAGTCCCAGAAATACGAGTGACGTTAAAATTCAATATAAATTAAATATTACAATTAATTTTTATTGTATAGGTAAATGCAAGAAATTACTAAAAATATTTAATTGAATCTACTTACTAGCTGTGAGATTTTACCGGGAAACCATTTAAATACTTAAGAGGATAATATTGGTGGCCAAAAATAATTTATACTAAACACATTTAATAATTGTATTATTATTTTTTTTTTAGAAAAAATAAACATAGTACTATATAGTATATAGCATCATCTTTTCGATAATAAATCAGTAGACAATAACTGTTTTTGTAAATATTAAAATCAAAATCAAAACATTTATTAACACAAATAATAAATCATTATACCTTATCAACAGTTTGTTTTCATTAGAGATATGTCGATAGATAGTAGCGATAGTAGCCACAATCAAATGGTTACTAACAAATCTGGTTTATGGTATCACTTGGTATATAATCAAATTTTAAAAATATTGACCGGGAAGATTTGGGTATGGCGAAAGCCCATGGTGTGTATTAATCAACTTTTAAAATGTGTCCGAATGGCGAACACTCCGAACTTTTATAAACGCTGTAAACAAATATGATCCAGAGTATATATCCAAGTGTATAATTTTAACTCATGCCGCTCCCCTAATCAATACACATAAAAGAGGTAGGATTTTAAACAGGCTACGAAGTACACGGGTTTAACTAGTAGGTTTTATTTATTTATTTTGTTGATATGTTTTCTTTTTTCAACAGAACTATTTACTTACACAATCGTAATCTAATTCAATATTGACACTGGAGTTTTATACACATGTTTACAATTATTTCTGTGTTGTCATTTATTTGACAATATTAACTTAAAGGCTGCGGTGTCTAAATATAACATTTTTAAATTCATTATTTTCAATTATTGATAACATAGAATAATCGAGAATAATAACATGCTTGACTACATTAGAGGGAAATAGGGAATCGTCAACCTTAGAATATATTCTTGTAATTGGACGAAGATAGATTTAAAATTTATAAAGTTATTATTATTAACCATGCGGATCAATATCGCCAATCAAATTATTTAAAAAGCTTAGACGAACAAAATTATCAACTTATATAACTTTTTACTAACGTTCATTTATTGCTTTACGGCTATCATATAAATAAAAATATACTATTTGAACTAAAGCTTAATAGTTTAATATTTATATTCAATTTCAGGTGTTGATGACGTCCACGTCCTACAACATTGTATCTGTCATGTTGAAAACATTTGGGTTGTAAGAAGATGCTCCACAGAATAAATAATCAACTACACTTCGTTATCAACAACTTTAAATATTTATATAGAAATTGGGTTTACAAAAAATATTATGTAATTCAGTAATTAACTATATAGTATTCAATTATAATATGTAATAATTGAGTATTTCAAAGCTAAAGAAAAATTCTCTGCTAGATGGCAGTGCTTATTTTTTTACCGACTCAACTAAAATTWAAAAAAAAAACCCATTAAATTATATTAATAACCTATTTATTTATTTTCATATTCRCTGACGGTAACTAATTTTTAAACACGAGTTTGATATAAATACAGAATTTAAATTATACATTAATATACCTACATTAGTGATAAGTCAATAACAAATTGACAACCGATTAGATACTCTTTTTTTTAGTAAAATCTTTAAATTCGTTGAACATTTAACCATAACCATAACCTAACCTAACCATAAATCGTGGACTAAATAAACAATTGATTGCAGTTATCCACGTGTAGTTACTATAAGAATAATACATTCTCTCGTCCCACAACGTCACAACTCTTTAGAATTTCAGACTTCAACAATCCAAATTTTGTGCATACAGTTTTCAAAGTGAATCTTCACGTAATTGTATTTTATTTTCATTTAACATTTTTGTGTTAATAAATTTGTAGTTTGTAAAATAATTGTGACCTTAGAGTTAAGTTTCATTGACGATTAGGTCTGCAGGAACTCGATTTCAGACATCTCAATTCTCAAGTGCTTCGATATTTGATCATATTTTACATAAAATATAAACAAATATTTAACGAAAAGTACGTACTATGTTATACACTTATAAAGTTATAACTTGCATAAGGTACTGTATAAGGAAATTATTCAATGGTTTTGTGATACCAGGTATAACAAGCAGATGAGACGAAATGAGACTTAAAATATTTCTAACACATTTCACATACATTACCCAATACCCATACCAAGATATACAAGATTTTATGGTTTTTGTATATCTGGTATGAATATTAGTTTATTATAATTTAATATGTTAAAACTAGAATTAAAAAAAAAATGTTTTGAGGAAGTACACAATAGTAACTCACTCTACTAGCGTGATAAATTCCCGGTTTGTAAGACATTTTTATATTATTACACAACGAAATAAACTAAAATACCATACACAATTACAGAGTATAATTAAATTAAAATTCATTGTTTGCAAATTCGTAACTCTACGATACCAATATACCATGTTATGATTTATAAACAGTACTCAGTAGGTAATGAATAAAAAACTCATTAAAATGTGAATTGGCGTGCGGTAATAAATAACTAATAAACAAGTAGGTAATTATAATTTTCATTTACTATAAACGATTCAGAACAGAATATAGTTTCGATGTAATTAAATGTAGTAGCCTATAATGTGTTGGCAACATAATATAAACTTGGACAATTAGATAAATGAAAATAACAATAGTTATTATGTGTGTATAATATATTATAAATTGTACCTAATGTACTAATGATTCAACTTCAACACATTAGAGTAAGTAGTTATATACTTATATATATAGTGAATTACTGTTTTGTCATTTGACCACATCGAAAATAGTTTTTAACAATTTTAATATTCTCGTTTTGTTTTATTTTAAAGTTAAATATTTTCAATATTTGTGTATCTAATTTAAAATATACCTATTACTTACCTATCTACCTGCATCGTATTATTATGTGTATTAATTAATTATACAACAATACATTATTATAGAAACTTACTTAATTACGAAACCCGTCCATGATTTAACAAGCTTCTGCAGCCATACCGGCTATATACTATACATATATGGTATAATATAATATGTGCTTCACTGTACCCACGAAATACGATAGATAGCAAACAAGGCCTAAGTATTTTTGTTTTAAAATTGAACATGTATATATATATTAACATTATAACAATATTTTCATACTAATTTTTTTTTTTTAATTACAAAAATTTAGGTATAAGTTCTGCTATAAAAACTGAATACATTATTATTGAAGTCCGCGTCTAATATAGAAATATAATGTGCGATGTGCCTACACCCTACATTCGACATGAATGTACTAATACCTATTGATAAGCGATAACTTTCTATCATTAAACTTCTTGATTTATTGTCGTTTATATTGAAATGTTTGGCGTCGAATTTGTTCTATGGATTTTAACATAAATGTGCAATGTAAACTATGTTTGTAACTTGTATTTATTAAAACCAGTGTAGTAGAAACAAAAATTCGTTGAAATACGTATATAATGTTTCTTCAATACCCCAGGGCCCGAACCCACCTAACCAATAAAAGTTTCAAAGTTCTAACTCAAATACTTTTTTTTTATATGCAAATAGACTAATAATATTCAATATTGAGTGCAAAAATGAGGCTTTTAAGGTAATGCAATTTTAATAAATATAAAATAAAATTTTAGTATATTATGAAATAAATATTGTGAACCAGTAATCATGACGGAAATCGCATGGTTGGCGGCTCATAGGTTTGGGTTCCGTCTGTGCTTCACGGCTTTTTCTTCGACGATTTTTTGCTGGTGATGGCGAAAGCACCGTAAGGGCCGTTGTCGAATTTCCCTTGGAACCCAGGTCCCGCCTTGCTGGTGGCGTCGATCTCGAAACCGATGGGTCTGCATCCGTTATTGGCCGCGTACTTTATCTTGATGGCGAACTTGACCGGGGCGCCGTTCTTTTTGCCCAGCTGTTCACGCGTCCACTTTTCGAACTCGTCCCAGCGGTTTAGCAGGCTGCTTTGCGCGTTTATTTTCCTGTTGACGCTCCGGTGCTGYGGCACCAGGTTCCACGTTTCGATGGGCCCGCCGAAAACGGACGCCACCACGTGTCCCTGTTCATCGTCCGCCTCCCTGTCCAGCTCGGCCATCCGCCTCTTCCACTTGTCGCCCGAGAAATTCGTCCTGGTCGTCGACAGCGCGTACAGTTCGCCCTTCACGCCAGTGGTCACCGAGGAAGGATTGCCGTTCTTGCACGTCATCGTCGACGTGGTCACTTCGATTTGGTTCTTGCCGAGCAGCGTGTATTTAGTGGACGCCCCGACGTTGTCCACGACCACCGCWCCGATCAACAGCAGCACGGCGTACGCCACCTGCGCATTCGCGTTGTTTCTCCACATGTCAGCCACACTTGTCTTCTGTCACTGGCCGAAAAAAAATGTCACCATAGGAAAGTATTAYCTGTTGCGGTATGTTATTACTTAGACGCGCTTATTGACGACTAAACARCTTRAAAATAGTTAGGTACCTAGTTATAAAATAAGATGGTCGTATATTAAAATTATCGCCTCTCGAAGTGACACTACCTATTATTCTAATGTGCTACGGTCGTATTTATACAGCGTTAGTAATGGACAGCGCACTATTGAACAAGTAATATCGAATTATTCGATAGTCCGGCGCAATCGAACTACTGAATATATTCGATACTATATAATCAAATGAGTATTTAATATTATATTAATTGAATCACAATTTTGATAGTTTGGTAAACACTAAGAATCGAAAGCCATTCGATAGTGCCAAATCACRTAATCACTAGTTCACGTGCAGAGTAGATTGGTAGGTTTGTTGGTACGCAAATCACGCCGCGCCGTAAAAATACCTGCAGGTAATATAATTATTTATTATTGCCGTTGTGGGTTTTTCACCAGTGTTTTCGAATAAAACGCAATATTTTAACGACAGGGAATCCCACTGTGAATATATTATAATAATGCAATTTGTAGGTACAACGAGTAATATTATAAATAATGTACGATAAGCTCCAATACCATTGTATCAGTGGACAGTGGACAGTGATAGTAATAATATAATAAAATGTGGGTGTAGGTTTTATTATACGCTTAGTTCCTTTTATATTATTAATGTATCGTATTAGAATAGCTGATATCCAAGTCACTAAATATCAAATAATAAAGTAGGTGTATACTGAATTGAAATCGACGTTCAGCTGCGAATAATTAAAATCATACACTGGTAGATGAATGAAATATGAATACGATTTTCAAGGCTGGGTATGGACGAGTTTAAAAGTTAAAGTCAAATTACTTTTAAAATAATTTAATAATTAAATTATGAAACTAGTAACTAAATTTAAACGAGTTACGTTTTTTAAATGTAACTTATATTTTACTGAGTTAATTTTTTYCATGACAATAACCTATTATTAGTAGTTACTACTAATTAAAATATCTTAATTTCTGGTAGTTACTCATCAGTTATTGATAATCTGTTAATTAATTGACAATAGTTATTGTATCACATTGAGTTATTTTTTTTTTCAAACAATTGAATTATATTTTTTCAAATAATATAATATAAGCTCCATGAATTAATAACATATTATATTGTTTTGTATAAATTATTGTTATGTTTTTAAGTAATCTTAGAGTAAAATCACCTATTACAAAAAAGATACAAAATTATGTTTTTGAGGGAATGACATATCGATTTGTCTAAATCATTTAAATTTGCAGCTTTATTTCTCAAAAAAAGTTTATTTTGATAGTCGAATACAAAATCAAATATGTTACAATAAAATATAATATCAATATGCCATTTCCCCAAAATTCAAAAATATTATTCTTCATCTTTTTTGTAATTGGTGATTTTACTCCAAGATTACTTAAAAACATAAAAAAAAAAATGATTCTGCGTAAATGCGTTTTGTCTATGTTGCGCATGGACCAAAGAGAGTAAACAAAAAGTGCGCTCACATCCTCTTAAAACTTTTCCCTAAATGTTTACCGAATATCAATTGTATTCATTACTTTTCTAATTCCTAGATTTAATTTTAGATCAACTAGGTACATGGTCGTTTTATGATCAAATAGGTCTAAATTAAGTGGCTTAATAATTTAGTATCAAAGTCCATAGATATTTTCGAAAATAAATTATGATGTTCAAGAAAAATATAAGCTACCTACTTTTATAAATTATGTACAGCGATATTTTGAATCATAATACCAATCTAATTAATGACTATTTTTTTTAAATGATTGATCAATAATAATTATAAAGATTTACAGTAATGACATAAATACATAATATTATTATTATCCATTTTCAATTTATAAATCAGATAATCAATAAAAACTATAACTGGGCTTATAGTTCATTTGTTAATTATCATTGACTGTAAATAGGAGTCTATAAATATTAGTATTTGCAATCAATGGAATTATATACAGTAATATCATAGTTAGGTAGGTACTTAAAATTTATGTTTATAACTTTATCAGTAATACGTGAATACGTCGAACGATCATTATCGACATGCCTCGGGATAAGTATTTACTGTTAAATTATCACCGGGTAGAAACTATATACAGAATATTTCTATAACATTCAACAAATTATATAATATTGACATTATTAGACGATATTGTTTAGGTAAAACGATTTCACTAGTCATTTATAACCACTTAATTTCATGGATATTATCATAATATGGTAAATTGGTAACACAGTAGCGTAAATAGGAATCGTATTAATTATTCACTATGGGCCAATTGACCACTAGTCAAGCTTAATTAAAGCATAGCACTAACACGGCTATAACTAGACAACTATATAGACATTTTTGAGGAGTCGGCTAGTCGGGTGGTTTTAATTATGGCATAAACAATACATATAGAGGTTACCACTAAAGAATTGTAAATTATAAATATTTATTATTATAATAAAAATAATATATGCAATTCATTTTATGTTATTTTTAATGTCATATTATGACGAATCATCGTCAAAACATGTCTTGATAGTAAAATATTTTTGGTAGATTCCTTAAACACGTTTTTAATTAACCTAATGTGTTGAAACTTAAAAATCCCCTGTAAACAATGTTAATAGATACCTAAACAGTGCCGCAACTACAATTTTTGGGCCCCAGGGTGACTAAGAATTAGTGCCCCATTTTTTAGCATGTCAGACACTTGTTAATGGTTTCATTTTCCGACCCTTTTTCATCTAGTAATTCAAATATACATCAATATGACAATATGTACATTAAAATTCACAAATTCACAAAGCACATCAATAAATAAGAATTCTAAATTTTATAATGATAACCAAATTTAATTACAAAAACATAGAGGTCAACCTAGTTTTTATGTTGTTATGTTTTATTTTATTTTATATTTTATTTTTTTTTTAAGTTGTTATGCAATGTATATCCTCCAAACCAATCAACAAAATAAAAAAAGTAACAACAAAACTTAATAAGTTAATTTTTAAAATTTGAAAGTTGAAACAATTACTTAAATTACCTACTTGAAACAAATAGGAATCAATGTATTCTTTAACTTCATTATTTTGACTTTTAAGTTGGAAAACTGTGATATAATATTGTCTAATGATAATTCAGCAGTTCGTTATTCTATGTTTAGCACTGCTATGTTTGACAAGCGCATTTGTCCCATTGAATTTCTTAAATAATTTTTATTAGTTTTAATTTTGAAAATGATCTTTCTGCGGTGGCAAATGTAACTGGAACAGGTCAAAAAAAAGAATACAAGCTGCTAAAACTTTTGAATAGCTAGTTGAAAAATTGTGCTGTATAATAAATATTGCCAAATCGCGGATAGACTTTAAATTGTTGTAAACTTCGTCAAAATATTTTGTTAGTGTATTTTGTAGATAAATGGAAATCTATTTCTAAAAAATGTAATGAACCATCGAAGTATGCGAACATAACTCTTAAACGATGATGGTTATCGCTTATTACTTGTTATAAAAGTATTAAAGAATTTCGGTGAAATTTAAATTCTAGAATTCAATAATTTATATTATAGACTATCAAAAAATAAAAACCTTTAGGTATGACGTAAAAATTATGTACGTGCCACGAGGTATGATCATGTACTTATATTGTATAATATATTGCATTCGCATATTATATCTATGTAAAGCCGTATACAACCAATGTTTTAAAAACTTTTAATTGAACCTGAAATATATACTCCACTGTGGTAATGGTTAACGTGGCTTACACCGGCGAATGCTCCGATTGTGTATACTTCCCTACATACTGTGTTAAATATCGTAAGACATACTTGAGAAATAAAAAACCTGACAACCTTGGTTGAACTGTCTATCAGTATAAATTTTACTCGTGCAGATAAAGGTAAAAAATTATCGAGATGAAATCATTAATTATTAACGAGTTATTGAGATGGGGAAAACATCGGTTAAAAGATTATCATTATACGAGTATTACATCTATAACTTATACAAACGTCAAACATACAATTATAAATAAATATTATTTTATATACGCGTATTATATATTTTTAATTATAAACTGTATTTGATATATTTAATAATTTGGTATTAACTAGTATAATATTGCATAGGTTATTCAATTTTTTCAATAAATTGCAACCATACATTTTCACATTTATATTTATGCTAGAAAATAGTAGTTATATCTTAAATTTTAAAGAAATAAATAATAATTTTTTTGGTGGGGGGGAGTGTTGCTCCGGGGCTCGATATGTTCAAATACGGACCTGGTATTTGAGTGGTTCACTGTGGTTTGCACTTATTGTTACCGCTCCTTGGTAACTCTTCTTTATTTCGCAAATCGAACATTTCCTACAAGGCTCCAAATGTTTTGATACACCATATACGATTGCCCTGACCAGTGACCACCGTACAGAAAAATCGGAAGACGAATCCGAAACCCACTTATTACGGTATAAATTATTACGCTAAACTTATAAAAAAAATCCAATCACATTTTGAATTACCTACCTTAACTAACTATGACTAACTGTAAGATACACATTCGTTTTCAGCATACAAATCAAAAAAGGATTATCCGGTACAATATAATTATATTATAGACATACCAAATATCCAATTATAATTTTCGCAATCCTCATGCAGAGTTATTAAGGTAAAATATATAAGTACGTATTAAAATGTTATAGTCGTCCAAAAATCTTAAATTATTTATAAGTATTATTTTAGTATATTTATTATATGGTGATCATGCGTGGATGACGAACTTAAATATCTACCAGGTGAAAAGCGTCGTCAGAGGCGGATAGGCAAAAAAAAATTTACCGGGAAAATATTTATGGGGCGACATTAATTATTCTACTATATATGGTCAGGGATACCAAAACTTTTTTYCCAATGAAACCTAAAAACAATTACACAGATATTAGATATAGATGAAAGATGAATAATATAAAATAATTCAATAACTAAGTTTTTGAAAACTTAAAAATTTATTTTGATTATACATGTTATAGGTATTTCATACAGAATACAAATTTGCTTAGACGCTAAGTAAAAATTAATTGAAGG